TTGGATTTGGACTGGAATTGTGATGAATCTATAGATCAACTTAAACAGAACTGACATTTTAATGATATCAAGTCTTCTCATCTATGATCTGATGTTTTTTGACTTCTCTCAGAAGTTCAACAGTTTTTAAGTGTATAAGGAGTGTGTATATCCATGAAGTTTATCTTTAAGTATTTTATATTTGTTACCATCATTCTAAATAGTACTGTTTTTCAATTTTCTTTTTCTTTCCTTTTTTTTTTTTTTAAGACTAGTCAAGTGCAGTAGTGAGGAGGGGGAAAGTAGTAGAACAAGGAATTCAATCTGTAACTGACTATGAACAATCAAGTGAGATAACTCACTACCTTCAGACCAGCCTGTTTTTTAATTTTCAATTTCTATTTTTTGTTACTAGTAAAACATATCAGTTGATTTTTCATATTGATCTTGTATCCTGCAACCATAATACATTCACTTATTAATTCTAGTAGCATTTTTTGGGGGGAGTAGATGTTATAGGATTTCTGTTGATCCTTTTGTCTTTTTTCCAATCTATATGTTTTTTATTATTATTTCTTTTGCATTCTTGCATTGACTAGGGTCCCTTTCCCCCAACAACATTGTAGAAGAGATAAGCATGAATAGGCTTGCTTTATTTCTTATTTTAGGGAAAAGCATTTATTTTTTCACCATTTATGTAAGAGTTGGCTGTAGGTTTTTCATAAAAGTGCTTTATCAGATTGAAGAAGTTCCCTTTTAATCTTAGTTTGGTAAGACATTTTATCATAAATGAATATTGAATTTCATCAAATGCTTTTTCTGATTTTTCTCCTTTATTCTGTTAATATGTTGAATTACAAATTATTGATTTTCACATGTTGGAGAACCTTGAATTCCTGGAATAAATCTCATTATACATGTATATATATATACATATATATATATATGTATATATATATATGGCTGGATTTGACTTGCTAATATCTAGTCAATGATTTTGGTATTTACATTTATTAGACTTATTAGACTGTAAATGGTTTTGTTACATTGACTGGTTTTGTTATCACGGTATTTTTCTTTCTGGCTGCTTTTAAGATCTCTTTGCCTTTGGTATTGTGCAATTGACCACAGTGTGTCTTAAATATGGATCCATTTTTATTTATCCTGCTTAGTATATATTGTGCTTCCCATACTGTAGATTCATATCTTTTATCTCTTGTTGAGAGTTGTCAGCCTTTATCTCTTCTAGTACAATCAAGTGTTGCTTAAGGATGGGGATAGGTTCTGAGAAATGTGCTGTTAGGCAATTTTGTTGTGCAAACAGAGTGTACCTACCCAAACTAGATGGTATAGCCTATACACCCTTAGGCTATATTGTATAGCCTATTGCTCCCAGGCTACAAACCTGTACAACATGGTACTGTACTGAATACTGTAGGCAATTGTAACACAATGGTAAGTATTTGCACATATCTAAGCATATCTAAACATAGAAAAAGTACATTAAAAATATGGTATTATAATCTTATGCATATCATAAATACAGTCCATTGTTGACTGAAACGTCATTATGTCGCTATGACTAGATTATCTTCACTTCATTCTCTTTATTTTGTTTTCTTTTGAGAACTCCATTAGGCTTCTATGAGATCTTTTTACTTCGCCCTCTGTGTTTTTATCCTCTCTTAATTTCGAAATCCTTATATCTCCTCCGACGCTTTTTCACTCTCTCATCGCTATCCCTATTTCCGCCATTTAAATAACCAATCTCATTAGATTTTGATGTATCTTTCGTCATGTTTCTTTTTGCAAAGATAAGCAGATACATGTAAATTTTTTTATTTCTTCTTCTTTCTTATGTAAAAGGTATAAGTACTGTTAAATTAAATTTGTCCTAAAGCTGTCTCTGTAGGTAGAGAACCGTAATCTAACTTGGTATTTGAACAACTGCAACCTAAAGTTGAGAGTATATTCTTGTAAGAAGTAGTCAAGTCTTGGCCAATCATAGCAGCTGAGCTTTCAGCCAATCACAGGCTGCAAACTGCTGAGACACAGCCACCTATGGCAAAGGTAGAGCCATAAATAGTTGAGCTGTTTCTGTACCTCCTGTCCTTTTTCTGTCTCTAAATACTGCCTGCCCACGTTCCTGGGTGGCGCTCTCTGAACCTGCATTGATTGGTTCAGGGTGCTGCCTGATTCATTAATTGTTTGCTCCAATAAACTCTGCTAAGTTTGATTTGTCTGAAGGTTTTCTTTTAGCAATACTACAAATACTCTGCTGTCTTTACCGTTTTTTTTTTTTTAACTAAACAACACAGAAGTCACTTGTATCAGTTCATACAGATCTTACTCATTGTTTTCCCAGCCGCACAGCCTGTCGTCATGTGGCTGTACCATTCTGTATGTTCACCTCTCCTATATTTAAGTACTTTGGCAGTTTCCAAAATTTCACAATTTCAAACAATGCTGCAATAGATAACCTCGTGCGTATTTATTTTCTTATTGTTGGTGATATATCTTCACCAATTTCTAGATGTGGGATTATTTGGCCAAAAGATAAATACCTATGTAGTTTTGTTTGATTCACCTAATTCCCCTCCACATGCGCCTTCCGAATTTGCAATCCCACCAGCTATTTTAAAAGTTCCCATTTCCAAAAAAACGGTTGTCAAGTTTTTAATTCTTGGCAATCTGATAGGCGCAAAAACTGTAACTCAGAGTAATTTCAGTTTGCATTTCTCTGAGTGAAATTGAACATTCTTTTCACATGTCTGAGGGTCATTTTTACATCTTTTTTGGGGAGTTGCTGTTCATGTTTTTGCCCATTTATCTGTTGGGTTTTTGGTCTTCTTTCCCTCAAAGTCCTTTATTATATGAGAGGAATATTAAATTAACCCTTTTTATCCATGATATATGTGGCAAATATTTTTTCCTAGTTCTTAATTTGTCTTTTGACTTCACGTAAAATTTTGTTATTTTTATGTAGTAAAATTTATCAATCTTACATTGCCTCTGGATTTTGAGTCTTAGTTAGAAAACTTTTTCTTACTCTGCTCAAAGAGGTATTCACCCATGAATTCTTAGTACTCTTATCATTTCACTCTTCACACTTAGATCTCTGAACCGTCTGGAATTTATTGTTTTGTATGATGGGAGTTACAGGTCTAGTGTGAGCTCTTCCTAAATGGCTCCTGGCGCGCACGCAGCTGGTGCGCACGGCAGGTGAGAAACGGTGATCGCCCGCCCCGCCCAACATTGGCCGCAGCCGCGCGCCTGGTCCCTGTCCCGCAAACGCACTCCCGAGCAGGGCCCTGCAAAGTGGGCTTGTGCGTCCCAAGCTTCGCGGGCGATAGCGCGCCCCTCGGACGTGTGATGCGACACTTCCTCGCACCGACGCGGAGCAGAGCTGGGGATCAGGGCCCTCGGCCGGGCCACCGCGGGGAACCGGGCGCAGAGGTGCTGCCACCTGGCGCCCGGAGCTGGCACTACGCCCTTTCAGAGCAAAGCGAGTCCCAGACCCATTGGTATCAGGGCTTTAAGTCTAAGGGAAATGTGGTGGGGTTTTGTTTGTTTTTTGCTTTTGTTTTTGTTTTTTCTGGCCTTCTTTGGAGTTCTTCCGGGCTCCAGAATCCAAATCCAGAGACGGAGTTCAAAGGGTAAGGTGAACTGAAATGTCTTGGCTGGGCTTAAATTCTCATGGTGGGGTCTGAGAAAGAACGCATGGTTGATGGGAGGATAGAAGAATGAAACGGAAAGGAAAACGAATTTCTTGTTGTGTCAGGCTATTTACATACAGTCATTTAAAAAAATCCTTATGGTAGGGCTGGGTGCGGTGGCTCACGCCTGTAATGCTAGCACTCTGGGAGGCCAAGGCAGGTGGATCCTTTGAACTCAGGAGTTCGAGACCAGCCTGAGCAAGAGCGAGACCCCGTCTCTACTAAAAAATGGAAAGAAATTAATTGGACAACTAAAAATATATAGAAAAAATTAGCCAGGCATGGTGGCACATGCCTGTAGTCCCAGCTACTCGGGAGGCTGAGGCAGGAGGATCGCTTGAGCCCACGAGTTTGAGGTTGCTGCGAGCTAGGCTGATGCGACGGCACTCTAGCCTGGGCAACAGAGCGAGACTTTGTCTCAAAAAAAAAAAAATCCTCATGAAATAGATACCCCAAAAGCCATTTTACAGATTAGAAAACCGTGGCCTAAGAAAATGTTAAAGGATGATTTTTTTAAAGGGTAAAGTCATGACTCTCATATCAATATAAAATGAATACATGTCAAAGATCTCATTTAACTCATTAATTAATATAGGAACCAGTGATATGTAAAAACTGGTTCAAAGAAAAATCGAAAGAATAGACACACATATAGGCAATCAGGAATATTAAAGAGAATTTGCTAATAGGTACAAACTGGTCACTATCCACAGAGTAATAATTAACCACATCTTCCTTGTACAATATTTATTTGCACCTCCATGGACAAGAATCATTTATATTACCATCAGTTTTCTACAACACACAGAGTTGTTAGATAGCTCAAGGACAAGGAAAAGAGCAGACCCTTCTAGAATAATACCTCTGGAAGGGTCCTCTAGATGATCTGCAATGAAATTAACCTTCAAGGTTTCACAGCTGCTAAGTAGAAGATCTGGAATTCAAACCAAATCTATTAATATATGTTTCTGTAAGTTATGGCTCTTTCCTCTGTACCAGGTAGCTTTTGGACAGGAAGAGGCTTTTTGGCAGAAATTGTATTGCCCACTCATCACCCCATGTGGTTAAAAATCCCTAGTCTCAGGAATCTCCATCAGAACCCACGGCAGCGTTCCAGAGAACTTCGAAACCATGACCAATCGTTTGCCATCTGGGGAGAGTCTTGTCCTCTTTCCAAGTGTTCCCTCGGACTCCCGAAGGGCTCCGAGGCTGGCCCGGGCCCTGGGAAGACGGTAGAAGAGTCTCACGACTGGCACCGCACGCTGTGCCCTGGGAGTGGCAAGAGGCTACTGCATCTGGCTCCAGTCAGTTCTTCGCTTTGGCGGTTTCCGGACGCTGGTACAGCCGGATTATACCTTCATCATGTAGCCGCTTCCAGACTTCTCGCTCTAACTTGAAGTCATGGTTTATGTAAAAGATCAGTTTTTTCCATGACTTATCATAGTAGTGATCAGAAAAGCGCTCGTGGCCCTTGGTGATGAAGCCATAGGCACTCACCTGCGTACGGGTTGGAGGAAGAGATAGGGCCTGGGGTTGCTGTCCCCAGGCTTCTGCTCATGGGCTATCTCGGCAGGGGTGGGGGAGAGGGGGAAATCCCTTTATCCTGTTTCCACCCCTGGGGGTCTGGAGCAGGTCCCTGGATGCACATGCACACGTGCACGCACTCACACTCACTGTCCCCTGCCGAGCAGGTCTGGGAATAGCTCCAGAGCTGCTTCTCTAGGTGTTCCTCCTCCTGAAGCAAAGTCCTACCTGGTCACAGAGGTGAAGGGCAGTGAGCAGCAGGAGGGCCCCAGTGGTGGGGCGGTATATTCTCCAGTGGACAGTGTCCAGGGTCTTAGACCTCAGAAACCTGTGAAATGCCCCAGACCCGCACTCTCAGGAGGCTGCAGGGATGAGAGGGACCCAGGTCCTCCACGTGCTTTCCGCTCTCACCTGTTCTTCATGTATCGGAGAAAGTCCGGGTGCAGCAACAGGTATCTGTCCAATTGCAAGTCTTCCCGGAATACTTCCTGGGGCCTGTGCCTGGGGTCAGGCATGGGTCATTCGGACTCAGTTCTCACACCTGGCCTGGTGTGGGCTGAGTCAGGGTCACGGACACGACTCCATCTCCGGGTGAAGGCTAAGGCTGTCCCTACCTGTCCAGCCCTTCACAGCCCTCACTGCACAGCTCGGCCTGGGGTAAGGGGTGGGGCGGCAATGGTACCTGAACCCGAAAAGATTCTTCGACCTCACGGTCTGATTCAGAAGCAGCGCTTCCAGCCACTCGTAGTCACGGGTGCCTTCCAGGAAGTGCAGGTAGCGGATGTCCTGAGGACCAAGGACAGCCAGAGGTCCAGGAGTGCTGCCTTCAGGCTCTGACTCCAGGCTGCCCACTCGCCCTTTTCTGGCCTAGTCTGACTGTCCTCCCTGCTCCTGCCCCACGTGTGAAGAGCACCGTACCAGCCACGGTCTCCATCCAGACACGAGAGACCCATCTCCCTGCCCCGCCTGCGTGCTCGCTTCCCCACAGTCTGGGTGTGGGCAGGCCCGGTCCTCTGCTCACCTTCCCCAGAGGCACGTTCCGGAAACCCCGGTTGCCCAGGATGAGAAGTGACTGGGTCACGGAGAAGGCAGTAAAGCCGTAGAAGGACGTCCGAGTACCCACATCCTGTTCGTAGCCTTTAATGACAGCCCCGCTCAGTCTGGTGGGGGGGAAGCAGACAGAGCACGTGAGGGGAGGAGGGAGCTGCGCAGGCGGAGCAGGAAAGGACGGAGAGAGGGAGGCCGCAGGTACGTGCGGAACTTCTCTGGGGGCCCAGGAATTCCACCTTCCAGATGCAGGCATGGAACGCCGCATGGGTTCTCTCAGAAGAGCCCGTATCTGCAGGAGAGGCGTAGAAGGGGGACCTTGGGGTGGACAACTCACCGGAACACGTAGTCATGGCTGTCTATCTCCTGGCCCACGCGGGAGTTGTTCAGGATGCCCCCGTTGCCCACCACGGCACACGTGACGCACCCGGAGCTCCCAGGAGGGAGGCCGGCCAGGAGCAGCTGCTGCTGGCCCACGGGAGGGAAGCGTGTGACCACCTTCTGCACCACTGGAACAAGGGGGGCTCCGTTCAGAGCCCTGGAGGGGACAGGAGTCCGGCCCGTCATCTCTCCCAGGTCTGGCGGGCCCCAGGGAAGAGGCAGACCGGAGGTGGAAAGCGCGTCCCCCGCAGCCTGCCCCTGGGTGAGGACTCACAGGAGTGCTTGAGCTCCATGAAGCCAAAGGGCGGTGCAAAGTGTTCCAGGCGCTCCCACTCGCTCTGGTTGAAGTGGCTGGAGTCCAGGAAGAGGGTGAGGTTGGGCAGAAAGAGGTTCCGGAGCCACGGCGACTTGGAGGCTTTGACCTTCACAGAGTCCGTGCAGGTCTGCACGCAGGAGGGCTAGGTCAGGCAGGGAGGGCCCAGGAAGGCCACCACCAGGGGTTGAGCCTCGCAGTTCGGACGGCACTGCCTCTGCTGCCTCTTCCGTCCTACTCCGCGCCCCCCCAATAATCCGGGCCCCCTGAGGGTTCCCAGGGGATGGATGTTCCAGGCCCTCAAGGCAAATGCACCTTTGCCAGCGTGAGAGGAACCACCCCAAACGTGGCAAATGTCCAGCGCGCTGTCAGTGCCACGGTTGCGTTGGTATGTGTGCAAACAGACACATCTTAAATCCAGCCCTCTGTGCAGGGCCATAGGAAGGACAGCGTGGTTAAGCCCAGGCTGTTTTCTTAGGGTTGGAAGAGAGTGGAGGTTGTGCGGTGGGCTTTGCAGGAGAGACAGGCACTGCTGGGGATCAGGGCTGGCGTGAGGTCGGGGCGTCCTGTTAGTCCTGCGCCCTCCCCGTGCTGGAGGACGATTCCCATGTCAAGCCCCAGAGCAGGTCACACCCTCTCACCCAGGGCTGATGAGCCCCCACGCCTCCTGCAGGGGCTCCAGGGAGGCCCCTCCTCATCCACCTCTTCCCATGCTGTCCAGACCAGGACTCTGGGGCCTGTGCCCCTCCCGGTGTTGGACATCACAGGAGGGGAGGGTGGGACGGGGGCAGGCAGGGTGAGCATGAGCAGGACAAGGCAAAGCCTGACACTCCTGCGGGAGGTGCAGGTGCAGAGAGGGTGGGGAGGGCTGCCTCCCGGAGGGACTGCAGAGGAGAACTCACCGTCTGAAGACCCCCCTTCTCCATGCTGTATTTCTCCTCGAAATCCCACCGGGGCTCGGCCTTGAAGTTGGAGGCCTTCAGCCTTTGTCTCTGGGTTGTCCGTGTGGTGCCGCTCTGGAGAAGGGTGGCGGGTGGGGTGACCTGAGCCTTCTTCTTCGTGGGCGGGACGGCTGCTGTGGTCACTCCTCTCTGTCTCGTCGTCAACACTGCTCCCGTGGTGGGCAGTAGTGTGCCCTGCCTGTCTGGAATGGGTGTCTTAGCGGTGGTGACTGCTTTGCCCTGAGCCAACGCTGTCCTTGTGGCAGTCACCTTCCTGGTCTGGCCCCCGCTTCCTCTGGTCGTCTTTGTGACCCGACTCTTCAGTGATGGGGCCTCTGTCCCAGAGTCCGGACCTTTGGGTGTGCCAGCCACGGTTTTCTCTTTTTCCTGCCTCTTTGGTAATGCCGTCTGTGCGGTGCTGGCCACTCTGCCCCGCTCCCTGCGGGGTGCCTTGCTGGCGTCTGTCCTGCTGTCTGCCCCGGCGGGGGCTGTGGGCTGGCGCTGCGTGTCAAGGGCACTGTTCTCTGGCTCGGACTCCACATAGCCAGTTGTCCTCCCGCCCACAGTGGGTGCCCCGGACGTAGCCTTTTGTGGTGACTCTGCAGCTCTCTCTTTAAGATTCTCTCTGGACTGATACCTGGGGACACAGATAGTGTCTGATGAAGGCTGAACACTGTAGAAACTACAGAAACACTGTCGTCAGCGGCATGACTAGGACTGATTCTGCAGCTTCAGGCCAACTGCAAACCAGTCTCTAAGGGAGATGAAGGGAACGTGTATCACCACTCACTACCAAAAATCACCCTGCACCCTTTGGCACTGGGTCTGGACACTTACCTCTGACCAATAAGGCACCCTTGGCAGGAGCAAGGTGTTTGGGGAGCTGGGGCCGGATGCCGAGACTGGCGTGGACATGTTTCCCCGGCGCTGCACCCTCAGCCCCGTGCTCACTCCTGGGCCCCCGCATGCTGGGCCAGTCTGATTTGTGAGTTCTAAGAATGAGCCTGTGTGATCCTGGTCTTGTCACCTAATATTTGTGTGATTCAGTTGACCGTTCTGTTTTTTTAATGAAGCATGGGTAACCAAGGACGGCAACTTCATTCGCAAGGAAGTAGAAGAGACACCTTCAGGTGAAGGCCACGGCTGCCGACCTTGGTTTTGAAAGGTCTGCCTTAAAGACTTACTTTAAACACTAGCATGAGTCAAACCCTGCCTAAAAGCAAACTCTTGCTTGTTGGCATTGTTAGGAAAAATATACGTATTCAACAAATATTTGTGGGGAGCCCACTCCTTTTGCAACCTCTCATGTTAGATGCTGGAGATCGCAGACGAAAGGCGCGTTTCCCACCCGTAAGCAAGGACAGCTCTAGTGAGACAGCCAGGGATGTGAGTGATTGCGCTGCCTGGGGCGTGTGAGCGTGGAGGGAGCACAAAGGAGGGGTTCTGTCTGCCTCCCCGGGGAGTTAGGGGGCTTCCCCTCCAGGGTTAGTGGCAGGACCGGAGTAGGATTTGCACTGTGCGTTGCATTCCAGGGTTTAGTTTATCATGTGTCCACTTGTTCAGGAAGAGCCATGGAAGAATTTCAAGTGGGAAGTGGGGGTGTGCAGAAGGAAGTGTGTGTGGTCATTGGGGTGAAGGGGCACAATCTGATTTCTATCCCAGAATGCTTTTTCTAGCAGTAGTAAAAAGATAGATTTAGGGTGGCTGGTCTGACTTCTGGCACTCAAGGTTTTTAGTTCCTGGTATTGTATTTATTTTCTTTCTTTTTTTTCCTTTTTGACACAGAGCCTGGCTCTGTCCCCCAGGCTGGAATGCAGTGGCCTCATCATAGTTCACTGCAACCTCAAATCCTGGGCTCAAGCCATCCTCCTGCCTCAGCCTCCCAAGTAGCTAGGACTACAGGTGTGAGCCACCACACCCGGCTAATTTTTCTATTTTTTGTAGAGACAGGGTCTCGTTTTTGCTTAGGCTGGTCCTCGCTCTGTCACCCAGGCTGGAATGCAGTGGCCTTATCACGGCTCGCTGCAACCTCTGAACTCCTGGCCTTAAGTGATCCTCCCTCCTCAGCCTCCCATGGTGCTAGGATTACAGATGTCAGCCACCACACTTGGCTTTTATTTTCTTTTTATTTTCTACCTTTATGCGAGGCTGTCAAAACCATCACTTCACTTCTGCCACTTAGTATCAGGTGTTCTGAGAAACCTGGTCCAGAGAAACCTGGATCCTCCGCTCTGCACACTTCTCTAACAGAACTTTGTGGTGGGGTCCCTGTGTGACAGAGATTTGGGGAGGGATTCCGGGGAGCCTTGGGAGAAACAATCTTCCTCTGCTGATCCTGGCCCCTGTCCAGGTGGACGTCCATGTCCCCAGCTCCCGCTCCTTTAGTCTGCCCCTCGGATCCTAGTCTCCCCCATTCCTCTTGGTCACATCTGTCCCGAGCTCTCTTTGTCTGTTTGTACCAGTCTTCTTCTGAGCGACGTATAACAGACTTACTGAGGCTACGTGAAGAAAACAAGAAAGAGCATGAAATCTGTAGCCAAAAAGACACAAGTGACAATCCTGACACTTCCCTTTATTAGCTGGGGTGACTGGGAGAAATCTTCTCAACTTGACTCTCGGTTTTCTTATCTGTAAAATGGGCTGCCGCCTTTCGCTTCTGAGAGAAGTCTCCTCTGAGCGTGAACTGACAACACATGCAAGGCATCTCGCACAAAATACACAACTGATGTTCTCTCCCCTCCCCCGCACTGATGTTCCTTGCTGTTAGCCTCTCCCAGTCTGTCCTGTGCGGAGCTCTCGGGTCTGCTCTGCGAGTCCGCTGCTTGCTGCTCCGACTTCCGCTCATCACGCGATTCAACAGCAAATGTTTACTGAGTGCTCCTCAGAGCACAATGCAGTTACTTGGGCCTCAGCGGGGAGCTTAGCCACATATACGTCCTTCCTCCCCTGGAGCCTAAGACACAACGGGATGACAAATAATGGCACAAATAGATGTCAAGTTGCGACTGGGAGGTGCTGGGCAAGGGGTGAGCGCGAGGAGATGCCACGGGCAGCTCTGTTTCCGGCAGAAATGTGGACGCTGAAACCGAACAGAGCGTCGAATTCGTCATGTGTCGGGGCTGTATTCGTTCAGGGCAATGTCCTCTCTTTCTTAAATCACAAACTCCGAGGAGGTAGGAATCATTCTGTGCTGCCCTCACTGCCACCTGTCCCAGGGCCACGCCACGGCACAGCCGTGCTTTGGAAAGGGTTTCTGAGCCCAACAGGACGTGGATGGATTTACACAAAATCGGAACGGAATCTGACATACGCACACAGCAAAAACACCTTGTTTACCAAACGTTTGTGAAATGTCTGTTCCGTGCAGTGTGCACGGAATGTAAATTTCAACAGGGCACGGACCTTGGGCCTTTGTGACAGGTGATTATTGTGACCAGCGGCAGAAGACAAAGGAGATCTTTCATTCTTGGGGAAATGCAGGCTGGCCCAAGGCCACACGTGAAGTGGGCAGGTTACCTGTGTTAACGCTTCCTCTCTCTAGGGCGCCCATCCCCCCGCTGTGGTGACCCTCCGGGTTGATCCCCATGTCCAGACTTAGCATCGAGGAAACGCATTTATTCAGGTCTTCCAGGAGGTGCACTCTCTGTCCCGACCTTGAGACTTAATCAAGACCTCCATTCCTTTAAGGTCGTCAGGAAAGGGCTGACAGTGGTGTCCTTATTTCTACCGCCCAGGTATCCTTGTTGTCTGGAACACACACACCTTTACCTGGCCGTGTGTAGGAAGTGCCTCTGCCTTTGTGATGTGGCTCAGAGGAGTCACTGAGATGGGAGACATTTCAGACCAGAGAAAAGCAAAAGGCCATGGGGCGGGGTCGGACTGAGATATGGAACATCCTGAAAAGGCTAATAGCCTTCAAACCCTAAATCTCTTTTCATTTTCTATTAAGAAGAAGGTCAGCGGGGAGAGGGGATTTGTTACAAAGATAGAAAGTGTCTCAAGAAACCCCAGAGCAAGAGCCTGGCAGCAGGAGCCTCCCTCTAGCACGGTCTCTGTTCTTACCGCTGCTCCCTGATTCTGCTTTCTTTTATTTCTATATTTATTTTGAGACAGGTTCTCGCTCTGTCGCCCATGCTGGAGTGCAGTGGCGTCATCATAGCTCACTGCAGCCTTGAACTCCTGGGCTGAAGGGATCCTCCTGCCTCAGCCTCCCGAGTAGCTGGGACTACAGGTATACACCACCACATGCAGCTAATTTTTCTATTTTTTTTTAGAGATGGGGTCTCGCTGTGTTGCTCAGGCTGGTCTCGAGCTTCTGGCCTCAAGCCATCCTCCCGCCTTGGCCTCCCAAAGTGCTGGGATTACAGGCGTGAGCCACCACACCCGGCCTGTTCTCTTTTCTTCTCTTTCTTTCCCTCTCTGCAGACCAACTTCCTTTGCTCTTGGTGGTGGAAGGTGGCCATCCCATAACACCTGTTCTAAGGACTGTTGACTCTCTTTGTTCCCAATTTTTCATTCTTGGGAGGAAGACTCCGGCCCACTTGGGTCCCCTCTCCATCCATGACCAGGAGTCTGGGTCATACAGTTTGTGACATCTCAGGGCAAACCCTGTGCATGGGAGGAGCACAGTGTCAAGAGAAGAGGGGGTTATCAGCTCATGAGCGGGGCAGACACCCTCAAAGTACCCCTTAAGAAAGAACGCCCTCAATGCAGAGTGGGAGACCAGAGCTAGTCAAGAATGGATTCTTGATCGAGTCCTTCCACATTTGTTTAGTAGAAAGGTCTGCGTGCTGTGGGGTGGGGATGAGACTCACCTTGGGGCTGACAATGCAGTATGAGCTCCAAGCTCGGGTGAGCCACTCAGCAAAACAGGAACAAGCTGTTCACTGGGTTTAGCAAACAGCCCTTGTTACTCAGCAGGGCCTCTTGGGGGACTCATTCCCTCCCTCCAATTCCCACCCCCAAGCTCAAGAGGCCTTTGGAAGCTTCCCTTCCAACCCCTGCAGCGCTCTGCCGAGACATCCTGGACACATTTCCCCATCTGGATAACGTTCATGGGTGCTGCTGCCTGGCTGGCAGGCATCTTCACATGAGTACGACTGGGAGAGACGACGAGGTGGGGTGGTCTCTTACATCACTCGTCTCAAACCAGAAGGCCTGGACAGCTGACCATCTCGCGGTGGTCAAGTCGGCCCTGAGGACACAAGGCACTCCTCTCTGGAGCCCTGTTAGAGTGAGCCAGTGACTCCCGGAATGACTGTTCCATCTGCAAATGCTACAATTGATCGATGACTCATTTAAGCTTTACAGGAAGTCACAGCACTGACCCGGGTAGGGACAAAATTATATAATTAAGTTTCCTTTAACTCCCTATAATTAAATACACCTATAATTGCTAGGGATGTGGTTGTTTATTATTCTCATGCTTGGTATTTACTGAGTGCTCAAATCGTGCCCATATGCTGAGTGCCCTGTGGTCATCTTGCTCAGATCCTGTGTGGTCCTGACCGTGTATGCTGTGGGCTGGGCTGGGTCGGCGAGAGCCTCTTTTCCAGGAAGGTCCTCTGATCCAGGGGCACAGGAAAGTTAATCATGGATCACACCCAAGCAAAAAGCAATTTAGTTTCATGATTCTAA